ATTGTTTGACTCAGTTTAAAACGATTTTCTATGCAGAAATAGTTAACTGATTATATGTTTCTTTTACGAGCATGCAAACAGTGTCTGCCTCTCATATTATTATTCATAATCCCAGAGCATCGCTGGTTAAATACAGATATGTTTGATCAGAACCTAAATGGAGCGTGATAGTAAGTTACTTCCGAATATCACTTTTGCCAAATAAGCTAGTAGTCGGATTGAGCTGAAGTAAGGCAGTGCGAGTGGTCTCTAGAAACTATCCTGTGCGGTAAATTTCAAATGTGAAGTTTATTCCTCGAAGTAAGCAATCTTTAAGTGTTACGAAGACAGGCTCTAAATGATCTGTTGATTTAATGAACTGCGAGCCAATCATAAACGATCAGATGTCCATTTTGTTTTTCTGAATAACCCATATCGACTGCCCACACCGGGCTTTACACTGACCGATTTTGTGTGTCTTACAGACAACGCCCATATCAAATTTCGTTCAAAACCTAGTTTTTATATGAACGTAAACGAATTAAACCCCTCCTTTTCTTAAGCGAACAAGTTCGGAAGAACTGCTTTGCTTAAATGTGACCAGGCAAAAATGAAGAAGATGCCAACTTCACCCTGGATATCGTTAAATACATTTTTACTAACATTCCGAAATTGATGCTTTCTCCTCGCAAATAAATGGTTGAAAATTTCAACGGCGAAGACATAATCGTGCGGTCTTAATGGCCTCTTAAATTTAAAAACTAGTGACCTCTGTGGGGTTCTACTTAGTGCTCTATCACATTTACTTTCTCATGTCACACCTTATAAACGAATTGAGCTTTTGTAAGGCAACTGTGGCAAAAAGACAGAATAAACCACTTCGGTATTGCATCCTCGTCGGAAATGGTGTCCTTCATACTAACACTTAAGTGTATTAGGATTTAGTAGTTGAAACGAAAACGGCAAGTTACGTATCTTCTAGACGAATTCTTGAAGGACACGGAGACCAGCCTGTGGATTTGCGTAGATAAAGTGGGAAAACCAAATGGCTCAACTCAACACCCCGCCACTCTTTTACAACTAAAGTCTGTATGCTATAATCAAAAGATGGTACATAAGTTTTCTTTTACTGGCCAGCGCATATAATGTAAAATGCTGTTTAATGATCAATTGGAATATATGAGGAAAGTTAAACATGTTGGCAGGTGTGCGTCAGACTTTAGTCTTTCATTTGACGCTTTTATGCGTGGGTGTATTTCAACTAGTCAACATGCGGAGAGATTGGGAAACAGGTTTCTGGTCTGTGTTTTCCGATGTTGTCAATTGCTTTTTAACAACAACAACAACAACAGTTGAGTCGATCGTTAGATATTTTGCAATTACATGTTTATCGGCTGTGGGATAGACCGATCCGTTACTCCGGACTGGGATGGGGCATGGCAGATTTTCATTCTAAAATCCTGGGACAGTTAGCGGGTGCTAGCCACATGATCTAGTTCCACGAGGTTGATAGCCTTGCCAGAGTCAACGACCGCCCATTCTACTGGTCTCCTGGTTACACTTGGCACACAGAACAGGTGGAAGCAGTGTGTTTAGTCAAACGGGGCTATGTCGGCTGAGCAATGTCATGGCGAAAACCGACGCTTGGGCTACCATTTTATCCATCATTTCCTTGGCTGCGGGCCGTCCGGCCAATGTTTTCCTAAATACCATCACCAGTTTTAAGTGTGCATCTGCATCTTATAAAATGCCGCAAGCATTATTCGCCCAATTATCTGCCCTGTTCTGTAGAAATGGCCTATTTGCAAGAAAGATATATACTTGAATGTCGATAAACAATGTAAATTTAGTAAACGTCTGTTTTTTAAGGGTTTACTGTTTTCGCCATCTTAGGTATGGCTCGTGCGGATGTGTGGTGATACTAGGTGCTTAGCTAGGTGATTAGCTTTTTACGACTTTGCTCGAAGATGGATTAGGGAAACTCAGACAATTTGGTCCAATTTCCTGACACATAAGCAACGTTTACAGCAGTCTTCCACTGCTTTACTTGATCTCTCGCGTTGGCGTGTGTAAGGATAAAATACTGTATACTATCTGTCTTTGTCATTTTACCCAGATGTTCATGGACGACAGGGTTACCAACTACCCTAGGACCCCCCTGTATGACCATGCTTTCTAACTTAAACTGATAAAAGCAGTAGACTCACGCACGTATGTCCGTCATTGAAGCGGAAACATACCGAAATCGTTTATGAAGGAACAGGTTGCTTCCATTTCTTCAAAATAGGCTCGGGTTGAGTTCAGTGATTTGGCTAAATACAATCTTGTCCGCAGAAATCGCCTTCTGTAGTTGGTGCGAGTAGGGCTAAATCATTGTATCAAATCTGTATATGTCATTTTATCCAGATGTTCACGGACAACAAGGTTTCGGCCTCGCAGGGATTGACAACCGAGTGAGCTGCGAGCCGCTCTACTCATGATTCTCACGCCTGCAATCCATCAACAAGTACAATGATCTCCCGTTGCCGTATTCTGTCCTGGGAGTTTCCCTGGGCGAATCAGTCACGTTGGAGGGCGCAGGCGAGCACCTTTCTCAGTGAGAGTGAGCTAATTTACCGAGCTATCGTCACGCCAGCATTCCTACGAATGAAGAACTCGCGGTAATTAACGACTTAGACGCGGACTGACAAGCCACCATCATATCAATTACGACCCAACGGGTGATTGCGACGGCTGTTAACTACTGTGCGCATATGGTCCCACGGCAGCTACGTGCTATAAATACTGCACTCCTTGTGCCGCCATTACCCTTTTCTAAAACTTGTTCTGATGATGGGCTCGACTGAAAATCCGAAACGCCAGGCCAATAAGTTTCTTGTTCCAGTGATTGCATCTTCGTCTTCTGAGCTTTAATGCCATCGATATTCGCAACCCCCCTGCAGATCCCTTTATCTTTTTCTGTTGGTAATTTATATAGGTCATCACAGCAGAATATTTGATCAGATCCTGTATACCCCTTATGTTTTTTGAGCCAACTATCGTGTGGTTAATTCTACTGGTCCTCTAGATTCTAACCATTTCAACAGTTTTCTCTTAAAGTAATTAGCATAAACAAAAACGCTTTTTACGGTGTACTAAATGAGTAATCTGTGAGAAACCGGACAAAAGATTTGGAATCTGAAAAAAGAGCATGTCAGCAGAATGAATAGAGTCCGAATAATACAGCTGAAATGCGACAGTACTTGAAATGCTACACTGGTCGTCGCGACGTCCGATGAAGCGATTTATTGGGACTGCAGCCCAACGAATCTGACTGGACACCGAAGGCGGATGATGCACTGATGCAATTATTCCATATGCTCTGTTCTGCACTGTTAGCTTTTACTGATCACATAGGTCAGATCCACAGTCAACATCAGATGCGCTGAACGACTTCGTCAGGTTAAACTTTGACTTCTGCCGAGTGCGGAACAAAATCTGCCCAATACTCATTTACATAGACTGACACTGTACTGGAACGTAACGAGGTCAACCAATAAGTAATTGACAGTACCTCAACGGTGGTGGTAATCGGCCCATTTTTCCGCTGAGTGATGAGATGCTGAATTGGAGATTAGGCATTTTATGACTATAATCTCTCTGCCATCATTTAAAACAGAGCAAAGTGTGTGCTTTTTTGAGTGAACATCAGAACATAAGGTAGAATTATCTAGCATGACAGTGGTCTAGATCTCCCTGATTCTCAGAGCGTGGCTAAATATCTAAGAAGCGTCTGAATTTTAGCAACCAATTTTTGGTCATATCATATTTCGCAAACTGTATTAATTCAGAGATCGCGACTGCGTAGAAAAAAAGTCAGGCTCATGAACTTTCATAAGTATGCGGTAGCATGGCAATTGCACGCTGTAAATAGTGCTGCCCCTTGTCTATGAAGTGCCCGTGTCTGCTTTTGTCGATGATGATGGGTTCGGGCTGGAACCCAAATCGTCAGGCGAATGAAGTTCTTGTTTCAGCGGTCATGCCTCCTTTTTCACAAATGCTTCCTGTAAATCACCTCTTCGCCTCTGTTGCCAAATTTATGAGTGACGCATATGCGATTCGTGGAAATACATCGGTAAATTTCAGGTATTTGCTAAAAAGCCTGCAGATGCTCTAAAATGTTCACTTCACTTATCGAATATGTTAAATAAGTCTGCTGACAGAATGATTGGTGAAGATTACATGATCGGGGAATTCGGATTTGTCGATGGGATGCAAATCAAGGCAAACAAGTCCAATACTCGAGTACTGCAAACAATCTGCCCATAAGAGTTACAAGACTATCGTTGGGAACCAGGATTTTAGCGGCATTACCACCCACCAGCTTAACTGCAATGCATGGAATTCACCAATTCCAATAAGGTATGCTGAGTGCCCAGGCAGGATTTCCTCAGAGGGCAATCTACAGTCTGCGGAAAATTCTACACGATTCATTTGATAATTTCTAAAACAAATGTGATAAACAGATATATGGCAAGTTCTAAAAGTGTAATTACAACACGTAGAACGATGATAACTTTGTGAGGGCATGGTCACCTTGGGAATTTTTCATAGAAAATTACACTCATATCAATCATACAACGACATAAATAAACACGCAGGTTATGAGTAATTATCGGATACACCACTGTTGGAAATGAAACGAAATGCATCAAAAATTTATCATTATTCTCTGAGATTTCGTAGTCTGTTACATGTGTATTTTTGTAAACCTGGAACCTGCAACATCAGAAAAGGCCCTTCATGGCTTTTAGAATTGAGAAAAATGCGCCACTTCCACCTGTGCCTGCTAGCACTTACACCATTACGTTCTCAGTCTAAACTCTTACTTAAGGATTATTCCCCTTGCTACAAAAACACATTTAAAACGTGATATTGATTAGTGGACAAAACAAGTCAACGCCTTCTTTCGGAGGAAAAAACAAATGATTGCATTCGTATATAAAGTGGTATGTTTCACCGTGGCATATCATCTAGTCCCTATGGCGTTGCCCCATCTGACTGTGGTGTTGACCATTGTCGTTTTTAACTTGGGTAGGTTGCCATTATATTTGCATCGTACGAGTTATTCCTTGCTGTCATTTTTATCTTGCGCGCTTCAATCCGTGCAAAGACATTTCGACAGGGAAGGTGCCTCGTCAATATTAGTGGTTTTGTGAAGTGCAGTCTTAATAACTTAGAGCTGAAGGCATCCCTGTGTCTCTGTTTATTACATTTTGCATCCTTCAGTGAGTTAGATTCTGCAAAACTATTTTTAGGAGCATGATCATGAATTTTTTTCAGACAGCTACATTTACTTCCCTCAGTCCGTGTTTTATCCCAGCCCACGTCAATTTGCATATTTTATTTAATAATTGTACCTTAGGATGCCGACATTCGTTCAGATTTTGACTCCGAGTTGGCTATACACTTGTTCAGTCATCTGCGGGTTTAGCACTTCGAGGAAGTTGTACCTAAGTAATCTGACTTGAAGGCAAAACCAGCAACCGAAATATAAACAATAGAATTATCTTTAAACAAGTGAACTGACAATTCCCAGAAAAATGCAAATCGTAATAGTTTATTTGGTACACTGGCTATAGGCATATTTCTTTATTTAGCCGAAGAATAACCATTATATCTACACTAAAAGAAATTTCACACAAAGTATGTACCCTCATACCTATGACTTCTACATAAGTAACCAGATGCAGCTACCCCTGCTTATAAACCCATTGCCTTGTTTGGTAATGTTGTGTGCAATGAAGGTGTTTGCTATAACCAGCACATTCAGGCTCATTTCTGAATCCCTAATTACTCTTTCGTCAACATTGTAAAGGTTCTTCTCGACAACAGGCACACATCAGCGTCTGTGAGCAACCGTACGCGGGTTGCGTGGGCTTCCACAATAAGCAGGATAACTTTTCATCGTTTCGTCAATGCCTGAAGGACTGCGATTTCAAAAACGGTTGGCTTGTTTTCTGGAAACATTTTAGACCTCTTTTTATTTGGCGAAATCTAAGCAGTATTTTCCGTTGTTTAGTGCCTGGGGCGAAGTCGCTTAGAGCGTACTCCTGCATCGATTACTCTAAGCCATGTTCCCCGTTGACATTTTATCAAATCCAGTCATCTACTGATGCCTTCTTCGAATGGACCAAGTGCCTTGAAGTATGTCACCTATTCACCAACGGTAAGGATAATTCGCCTTCTAAATCAGAGTCGAAACTAAGTGTACTTATGCATCTATGCCATTACTTACTTCTGCATTATTAGTGAAAGATGTTTGACTTCATCATTTATAACACCCATCTAAAGTAACATGGAAAAGTTCTTTGCAAGGAAACCCTGTCTTACGGCATAATGCATAGACATGACTTTTGTAGTCGTTTCAGTATTAACTCTAAGGATCATGTGCTGCTCTATGCCTTAGCGTAAATTTATTTAATCTTTCGGTCCTAGACGATGGAAAAGTCTCGACTACGGGGAATATCTGTATGCAACCGAAACACGATTGCTTCAGTTTTGCAAACAGTGAAGGGACCGTTGACAAATTCATGAAATGCTATGTGGACTGCCAAGTAATTAGAAAAGGTGAAGTATTCGTTTAGACATTAGATGAATGAATATTGCTACTTTACGCTTAATGATAAAAGATTTTGTTTCATTCAGAAACCCACACATATCTGAATTACATGTACGTGTGCAGTCCGAACTATCAAGACTGTATTGATTCCATATTCTTCACCCTATCGGAAGAACGGGAACCCAAACAGGTACTAACGAAGTGCTACCAGAACTGTGGAATTGGCGAAGGTACGATTGAAAGAATGTCTATCTACTAACATTATGGCGTGCATTTTGGTAAACCTGCCTTATAGTAAAATCCATGATTAAATATCGATCGAGCTGACGCGCGTTTCAGGAAACGGGTGCACGCAAGGAAAAAATTAGAACTGTGCTTTACGATTAGGTTTACAATTGGTAGTATTTTCTTGCCGAACATTCTGAAGAAACTGTTAAAAAAAACCCAAAACAAAGGCCTAACAGTTTAATACGTAAAACGTAAACAGACATTAAAAGGCGAAAGATTGAGGGAGAAAAGTAGCGCAGAAAAAAGAAAAAAACAAGAGGACAAATAAAATATCAATGAAAAATTTCTTATATAAGGGGCAGATATGAAAAAAAGAAGCATGGACACCCGGAAAGAATAACCTGGTCAAACGGAAATTAAGTCAAAAGGCTGAGATGAAAGGGCAAACGCAACGCATGTGTGCGCGATCATGTAAAAGCAAAACATCAATCATTGGCAGAAATGGGTGGTGAATATAATTCAAGATCAGGCAGGAAAACTAGGTAGGCTAGTAAACTTATCTCGCAGAAGGCTGTCTGATGCGGCGGTGACTGATAGACTTGCTTTCACGTGGCATACCTCATTCTGCAATTCTTCGCCTTTTTCCACTCAAACCTCATCATTTCTTCCATTTGCAACCACTCCTAAATGACCAGCTCCCGAACCAACAAAAGACCGCTTCAAATGCGACGAAGATTCCCAGATCTGTGTACCCTGCACTGACGATGATGATCAATGTGCGGACTTATCCACGTGCGAAGAGACCTGCGGCAAAGAAGGTAAGTTCTCCTCCTCCCTGCTTACTGCTAACTAACCCAACGTGCACCGACAGAATCAATAGGACACAAGTGCTCCCTGCAATTAACCCAAGTCCAAGGGTCAAGTATTATTGTGGCTGCAGGCATGATTTTATGAATGCTTGTACATTGTGTGACATGTGATGTTTTCAGGCTCGTAAAGCATATGTCTCTGGTTAAATATATCATCCTGTCATGACTCATTGGTAAAATGAACTAAGAGGGCCATTTCCGCAAATGCCACACAGTCTCGTGCGAGCGAAGTCATGACAGCGGCTAATTGAATGTCCCTTAGGTGCCATAGGACTGAAGTATTCTTTGCAGTCATGATGCCATAGGACTGCTGACATGCGTAGCGCCACGGTGTTTCTGCATGGCAAGACTGCGTATTCATGAATGGTGCAAAGAAAGCAGTCTG